TCTTAGCTCCTGAACTTGAACTCAGTTTTGGCTTTTCCTGGTCTCCAGTTGGACAGACTTCAGACTTGAACTGCTGCATTGGTTATCCTTGAGTCTTTAGCCAGCCCACCCACTCTGAATATTTTAGACTTACCAGCTTCCATAATCACATGAGTCAATCTTTTAAAATAAATCTCTTCACATGTATATATTATATTTATATATCTTCTGTTGGTTCTGCTTCTCTGGAGAAGTCTGACTAATATAGGGGATGAAACAGACTGTCATTTATTTTACACTTACTCTAATGATATGAATCTTAGGTTGTCCAGATTGAGGAGACAAGAGTGTCTCCTATTAGACTTACCACATGAACAAGCTCTGGGCATCATTGCTTGTCTACTACAACTTGTGAGCCTGAGAAAATCAGAATTATGGTTTTCCAAATTTGGCAAATGCCCTCAAAATAAAAGCAAACTTTCCTTCTAAATTCCTGTCCACATTTATATTTGGCCTAATGATTATTCTCTTGCTTATTCTTCTATTATTTTGGACCCACCTCTATCATACATCTCTGCTTCTAAACCTATAACTGGACTCACATCCCAGCAGGCCTCTAAAAGTGAGATACAAAGTGGGACCCATGAGGAGGTATGCTACACTCCAAAAGAACCACTTGAATGTTCTGATTTATACAGACAGAAATCCAGGAGACATGTGTGATACTAGGGGTATGGGAAAATAGGGGAAGGAACTTAACATTGGGTCAGGCTGAATTTATTGACATGGGCTCACTAAGCAGAGGTTCTGCATTCAGTGTAATTACCTGCATTCAGGTAATTATAATAATAATTATACAATTATATATTATAAATATATATAATTATAATATGTAATTATCATATAAATATATAATATATAATTATATTACAATTATAAAAAATAATATAGAATCCTTAAAAAATAGAGCTGATGTTATGGAGGAGAGAATTAGTGAGTTATAGGATAGAGATATAGAAATGCTACAGGTGGAGGAAGAGAGAGAACTAAGATTTTTTAAAAGATGAAGGCATTCTTGAGAAATATCAGACTCAATTAGGAAAAGCAACATAAGGATTATAGGTCTTTCAGAGGAAGAAGAGAGGGAGAAAGGAACAGAGAACTTGTTCAAAGAAATAATAGCTGAGAACCCCCCAAACCTGGGCAAAGAAGCAGATTTACAAATACGTGAAAATAGTAGAATGCCTAATTACATCAATGCTAAAAGACCTTCTCCAAGACATATGATAGTAAAACTGGCAAAAGTCAATGACAAAGAAAAAATATTAAGGGCAGCATGGTAGAAGAAAGTAACCTACAAAGGAACCCCTATCAGGCTTTCAGCAGATTTCTCAGCAGAAACCTTACAGGCTAGGAGAGAATGGAATGATATATTCAAAATACTGAAAGACAAAAAGTTTCAGCCAAGAATACTCTATCCAGTGAAAGTTTCCTTCAGATATGACAGAGAAATAAAAGTTTTCCCAGATAAACAAAAACTGAGGGAGTTCATCACCACTAGACCTCTCTTACAAGAAATGATTAAAGATGCCCTCACACTGAAAACAAGAAGGTAAAGTTCTACAAAGCTTTGAGCAAGAAGATAAATACACAGACAAAATCAGAAAACTGCAGGTCTCTATTGGAACGTGGAAGAAAATGCTCAATTACAATTTAAAAGATAAAGGGAAGGAAAGCATCAAAAGTAACTACAAACACTTTAACTTAGTCACAAACTCACAACACAAAACAAAATAATTTGTGACAACAATAACTCAGAAGGGGAAGAGGGAAAGGACAGAATCTGCTTAGACTAAAGGAGATAAGAGGCTATGAGAAAATGGACTGTTTCATCTATGATACCTTTTACGCAAATCTCACAGTAACCAATAAACAAAAAATCAGAGCAGAGTCACAATTCATAAAAAGAGAAAACTGAGGAAACCTGCTCAGAAAACCACCAAAATGAAATGGCAGTCAGAAATGCAAAGGAAAATAAAGAGTGGAAACATAGAACAACCGAAAACAAGATGTAAAATGGAAGCATTAAGCCCTCATATATCAGTAATCATTCTAAATGTAAGTGGATTAAATTCTCCAGTCAAAAGCCACAGAGTGGCTGGATGGAATAAGAAACAAAGACCCAACAATATGCTGCCTACAGGAAACACATCTCAGCTCTAAAAACAAGCATAGGCTCAGAATGAAGGGATGGAAGATGATACTTCAAGCTAATGGCAAACAAAAGAAAGCAGGTGTTGCCATACTTAAATCAGACAAAGAAGACTTCAAGTTAAAAAAGACAATGAGAGACAAAGAGAGGCAGTATATAATGATAAAAGGGACATGCATCCAGCAGGACATAACACTTACGAATGTATGTGCACCTAACACAGGAGCACAAAAGTACATAAAGCAACTATTAACACACCTAAAGGGAGAAATAAACAGCAACACAATAAGAGTAGGGGACCTCAGTACTCTATTTACATCAATGGACAGATCACCCAGACAGAAAGACAACAAGGAAATAGTGGATTTAGGTGAAGCACTAAGTCAGATGGACTTACTAGATATACAGAGCATTCCATCCAAAAACACCAGAATAGACATTCTTCTCAAGTGCACATGGATCATTCTTAAAGATAGATCACATGTTTGGAAACAAGGCAAGCCTCATGAATTTAGGAAGATTGAAACCATATCAAGCATCTTTTCCAACCACAATGCTATGAAACTAGAAATCTACTACAAGAAAAAAATGGGGAAAGTCAGAAATGTGTTAAGACTAAAGAACATGCTACTGAACAACCATTGGATCAATTAAGAAATCAAAGGAGAAATTAAAACACACCTGGAGACAAATGAAAATGAAAATACAACATACCAACTCTTATGGGATACAGAAAAAGCAGCATAAAAAGGAAATTCATAGCAATAGATGCCCAGCTTAACAAACAAGAAAAATCTCAAATAAGTAATCTTAAACTGCAACTAACAGAAACAGAAAAATAAGAACAAACCAACCCCAAAGTCATCAAAAGGAGGCCAATAATAAAAATCCAAGCAGAAATAACTGAAATAGAGCCTTAAAAAACAGTAGAAATGATTAATTAAACTAAGAGCTGGTTCGTTGAGAAGATAAAATTGACAAGCCCTTACCCTCATTCACTGCTGATGGGAATGCAAACTGGTGTAGTCACTATGGAAAACAGTATGGCGATTTCTCAAAATATTAAAAATAGAAATGACACACTAATCCAGCTATCTCATTACTGGGTACTTCTGCAAAGAATTTGAAACCAATGATCCAAAGTGATTTATGCTCCCCTATGTTCATTGCAATGTTATTCATAATAGCCAAGATGTGGAAGCAACCCAAGTGCCCTTCAATGGATGAATGGATAAAAAAGATATGATATGTTATGATATTATATATATATATGCAGTGGAATATAGTGGAATATATATATATATATATTTATAGTGGAATACTGCTCAGCCATAAAAAGACAAAATTGTCCCATTTGCAACAACATGGATGGTCCTTAAGAGTATGATAAGTGAAATAAGCCAGACAGAGAAAGACAAATATTGCATGATTTCACCCATATGTGGAAGATAAACAAACACATGGATAAATAGAACAGATTAGTGATTACCAGAGGGGAACGGGGTTGGGGGGTGAAAGGGGTAAAGGAGCACACATATACGTTGACGGACAAAAGTTAGTCTACTGGTGGTGAGCATGATTAAGTATATTCAGAAATTGATAAATAGTAACGTACACTTCATAGATTTCAGAGCCCAGGAGTGGGGGTCCTCGTGGCTTATCTGGAAGATGTGACCAAAATCTTCCTACCTGAGGGGACTGGGCCCTTGGAACTCAAACCCTTCTCACGTTGAGTTGCTGCATGTGTCCAGTCACAGTTGCAGGAAGCAACAGGGAACCAGGAGGTGCCCAAGTCTATCACCTGGGTTCCTCACATATTCTTCCTGCCCCCATGTGTAACACAGCCCCACCCCCTCCTACAGATCAGTCTCTTAGTCCTGCCTTGAGAAAAGGGGACTCTTCTCCTCACCTGCTCGTCTCTAGGTACATGGAGTCAAAACTTCCCTGGTGGCAACCATAACATATAGTTCAATGGGACTCTTGTCATGTCCTCTTGTAAGAGTGCCCCCCTTTTGGTTTGGGAACCAGGACCTCCTATCCTGTGCAGCCCAGAGTTGTGGAGACAGGAATTACAAAATCCCCCAATGAATGACTGGAAGTGACGGTAAGCAGGGCCACCCCTGCCTCCACCCCTTGGTTCTGGACCCATGTTCTCTTTCTATTGAGAAATTGGCACCATATAGAGGCTCTGATTCAATACATATACTGCACCCTGAAAGATGTAACCCCATCCCTTTAGGGAATTTCCTCAAAGCTGGGACTTCAGTTGCACCTTCAGAAGGCCTGTCCAGAGTCTGTGTGGCTGGCAACTCTTGGATGGTACCAATTGTGATATGACCAGTGGATCTCATGGTCATGACCCATCCTGTACCTCCTTCACTGGGAAGTGTGTTCCCTGGTTGGATACTGTGCTAACAGCAACTCCAAGCCTGTGGCTCTTGCTCTCTCAATATCTCAAATAAGTTAAATATAGGTTGTGATTAGACATCAGATTGGGGCCACAATTTTTGTTCTGAGTGAAACTGAAAGGTAATGAAAACATGTCCACTTAGTGTGTCACGCAGTGACAAGACCCATGGTGTCTTGCAAACAACCCTCATCTTCTGCCTTTGTCAGTTGTCAATGATCCACTCTAAGCTTTGGAGTCACAGACGGTTCAGACTCCTGAAGAATCCCACTTTCAGATACAGGACAGGGCACACAAGGTAATCTGTGTGTATTAGTCTGCTAGGGCTGTCATAACAAAGTCCCACAGACTGGGTGGCTTAAAGAACAGAAATTTATTTTCTTACAGTTATGAAAGCTAGATGTCTGAGATCAAGGTGTTAGCTGGGCTGATGTCTTCTGAGGCCTCTCTCCTTGGCTTGTAGATGGCTGTCTTCCACTTCTGACTCCTCACGGTCTTTCTTCTCTGTGTGCTCATGCCTTAGTCTCCTTTATATAAGGATACCTGTCATATTGAATTAGGGCCCTCCTCAAAGACCTCATTTAACCCGAATTACCTCTTTAAAGACCTCATTTCCAAATACAGTCACATTCTAAGGCATGGGGGTTAAAATTTCAACATATGAATTTGGAGGGACACAACTCAACCCACAACAAAATGCATTTTCCTTGGTAATGCATTTTCTAAGGAGTAAAAGGAAGTGAGTTCCTTTTGCTGAACTCTGTCTCTTGGTATTTTGAAGTTTTGATTTAAAATAAGAACAAAAAAAGGAGACCCAAAGTTTCATTTTACCCAGAAGATAAGCCCTCCCTAAGTCAGGCTGTGCCAGGAGTCCAAGACCCACCAAGTGCTGTGTAGCTCTCCAAAGTTCTGCTCACTCTGTGGTAATTCTGTTTCTATCTTTTTTAAAGGTTTTTTTAATTTTAACTTTTAAAAGACTTTATTTTTTAGAGCAGTTTTAGGTTTACAACGAAATAGAGAGGATGTGCAAGCTGACATGAGATGCCAGAGCTGGAGACCTGGTAAGTCGGCAGTCCTCTTCTCCTGTCAGCCTCAGGGTCCTGCCCAGGAAATGTCCTTTTCACCATGGAGCTTCAGCCCTGTGGTGGGCTTCATACTCCCCTGACCTTCCATGAAACTTCTAAACAGCAAGGGTATGGTACCCAAGGTACAGGAATCTGATCCTCATATCACCTGAGTTATCGATACTGAAACATCATCCTTCCAATTTGCTCATCTCCTGCAAGATATAAAATAGTATTAAGCCAAGCAGACATACAAGATTAATTAATGTGTAGGTACAAGGTGTATGTAGATGGAACTTCCCAATTGCTTACCGGAGGAGGGAGTCAAGCCCCATTCGTAGATGAGAACAGCAAAGGAACAACACTCAGGACAATAATACTGGGTGCCCCTGCCCTGAAAGGAAGACCCATTGCTGCAAACAGACATCCAGGAGAGTGACTGCATGGTCTCCCCGATGTTCTTTTCCTCCGGTTTAACAACCCGAATCTCAGCTGAGTAGCAATATTCACCAGTTATTCAAGAACCTCGACCCCGATAAAAGGAAAGATATTCCATGCTTATGGGTTGGAAGAATTAATATTGTTAAAATGTCCCTACTACTCAAGGCAATTTACAGAGTCAGTTCAATCCCTATCAAAAGTCCAATGGCATTTTTCATAGAAATAGAACAAACAATCCTAAAATTTGCGTGGAACCACAAAAGACTCCAAATATCTAAATCAAGATTGAGAAAGAACAAAGCTGGAAGCATCACACTCCTTGATTTCAAATTCTATTACAAAGCTATAGTAATCAAAACAGTATGGTAATAGCATAAAAATAAACACATAGATCAATGGAACAGAATAAAAAGCCAGGAATAATTCCATGTATATATAGTCAATTGATTTATGACAAAGGAACCAAAAATATACAATGGGGAAAGTCTCTTCAATAACTGGTGTTGGGAAACCTGGACAGCCACATGCAAAAAAAGTGAAACTGGACCCCCATCTTACACTATACAGAAAAGCTAATTGAAAATGTATTAAAGATTTGAATGTAAGACCTGAAACCATAAAAGTCTTAGAAGAAAACATAGGTCTTAAGGTCCTTCACATTATTCTAGGTGATGATTTTTTGGATTTGACACCAAAAGTAAAGGGAACAAATGCAAAACTAAACAAGAGGGACTACATCAAACTAAAAATCTTCAGCTCAACAAAGGAAACCATCAATAAAATGAAAAGGAAACCTGTGGAATGGGAGAAAGTATTCTCAAATCATATATCTGGTGAAAGATTAATGTCCAAAATATATAAAGAATTCATAGAACTCAATAACAAGAAAACAAACAATCTGATTTAAAAATGGGCCGGCCCTGTAGTTGAGTGGTTAAGTTCGCATGCTCCACTTCAGCAGCCCAGGATTTCTCTGGTTTGGATCGTGGGTGTGGACGTGGCACCGCTTGTCAGGCCATGTTGAGGTGGCGTCCCACATGCCACAACTAGAAGGACCCACAACTAAAATATACAACTATGTTCTGGTGGGATTTGGGGATAAAAAAAAACCACAAAAAAAGAAGATGGGCAACAGTTGTTAGTTCAGGTGCCAATCTTTAAAAAAAAAGAAGAAACAGAATTTTTAAAAAATAGGCCAAAGATCTGAATAGATATTTTTCCAAAGATGACATACAGATCGCCAACAGATGCATAAAAAGGTACTAAACATCACTAGTCATCAAGGAAATGCAAATCAAAATCATAATGAGATACCATCTCACACCTATTAAAATGGCTATTATCAATAAGACAAGAAATAACAAGGCGAGGATGTGGAGAAAAGGGAAGCTTTGCGCACTGTTGGTGGGAATGTAAATTGGTGCAGGTACTATGGAAAACAGTATGGAGGTTCCTCAAAAAATTAAAAGTAGAACTACCATATGATCCAGAAATTCCACTTCTGGGCATATATCAGAAGAAAATAAAAATACTAACTTGAAAAGATATCTGCACCCCATGTTCATTGCTGCAGTATTTACAATAGCCAAGATATGGAAACAACCTAAGTGTCCATTGATGGGTGAATGGATAAAGAAAATGTCGCGTGTACACATACACACACACACACACAAACATTATTTAGCCATAAAAAAGTAAAAAAATCTGTCATTTGTGACAACATGGGTGGATCTTGACGGCATTATACTAAGTGAAATAAGTCAGACTGAGAAGGATGAATACCATATGATCTCACTTATATGTGGAATCTAAAAAACAAAAACAAGTTTATAGATACAGAAAACAGATTGAAGGTTGCCTGAGGTGGGGGTGGGGTTGGGTGAAATGGGTGAAGGGAGTCAAAAAGTACAAACTTACACTTACAAAATAAATAAGTCATGGGTCTGTAAAGTACAGCATGGTGACTATATTTAATACTACTGTATGGCACATTTGAAAAGTTGCTGAGAAAGTAATACTTAAATGTTCTCATCCTAAGAAAAAAATTCTGTAATTATGTAAGATCAAGGATGTTAACTAGACTTATTGTGGTGATCATATCACAATATACACAAATATTGAATCATTATGCTTACACCTGAAACTAATATAATGTTATGTCGATTATACCTCAATAAAAGAAAAAAAAAGAACCTTATTCCCCATCGCCACTGTGGCATTCTAGTGTCTCTGTCCACATAAGAACCTCCTGGAGGGATGTACTCTACAAGTGTTGGCATGGAAGGGGTGGCAGGGAGAAGTTTGCGTCTATAACCCCTGGAATAGAGAGGATGAGAGCCAAGTCCTATGCCCTTAATCTGCCTTAAACATTGTCTCCTCCTGTAGGCTCTGCCCAACTCCTCTTTATGGTGACAAGGTCCCGGACACCGATGTATTGCTCACGGCTGCCTAAAATAGGATCCTGTGGGTCCTGATGTCAGCAGGGCTTGAGGCAGTGGGGGACAGCCTCGGGCTGAAGGGGATCTTTGTGTTTGAAGTTAGGGGATGGCGATGGGCTGTCCATAATGCTCAAGTGCTGAGAGAGTGGCTGATGTGAATCTGGTCATTATCATTTCCTCCCCCAGCTTGAGAGAGCTGCCTTGTGTGGGACAGGACTAGCAAGACACCAGTTGTTCACACATGCATTTGGTCTGTCTGTGGACTCCTGACTTCTCTTCTCCCTGCTGCTCTGCTGATGAGGTCTGTCTCCTCCCTGTATGATACACTGGAGGATATAGGGAGAGGGGCCCTTAACCCTTATTACCCAGAGCTCACAAAATATCCTATATCCCAGGCCTGTGTGTCCCTTTCCCTCGATCAACCTTCCTTGTCTGAGAATGAAAGGGTTCAAGTGTCTCCCTCCCAGATCTCCATTGTTACTTACATGCCCTAAATAGATACCTTACTCTATTTTCTCACATCCTTTCTTTGAAGATGTGGTACGTGGCTAATAAAGCAAATAAAATAGTATAAACTACAAAAAAACACATTGAAGTGAGAATACCTCATTGAGTCGGAATCTTTGCTGTGCTGTGGCAGGTGGCAGGTGGGGAGAGAAGGGCAGGTGGAGGAAGGCAGGAAGGAGAGGGGTGTGCGAGCTCACTCTGTGCTGGATTAAGTTTCTGCTTCGGCCACTTCTTGCTGTTTGTCAGCCTCCTTTCTTGTGCTGTAATTTGTGCTTGTTCTTTAGGGGCTGTTGTTGCTCAGGGTCAGCGGGCCCCAGACATCATCCAGGCTGAACCATTCTCCAGAATTACAGACCTGGAGGGCTGAGAATGTCACGTCTCAATCCTGCCCTCGGTTCTCCTCTTTTTTTGTGTATTTTTGCATGTTGATTTGATCCCTCTCATCAGGGATTTCTACAAATATTATTTTGAAGGTAGAGCCACAATCATTCAGCTCTGGCTGCATTCTGACCCTGGAGTAGGTACATGAGGGACATTGGGAGTCTCATTTGTGCCTTTCACTTGTTTTATGTTCAGGCGTTAGGCTTCCTGGGGAGAGTTATGGTTACTCCTTCCACTTACCTGTGTGTAACTCAATATCGTGGTTCTCATGGATCAGACACCTTGGTCTACGGAGCTGGTAGCAGACATCACTGTTGACTCTAGCACTCCTTTCCATTTCTGGGGCATGGCCTAGCAGGGAAACCTCCAGGCCCAGCAGCTCTACTTCTCGGGGTGGGGGTACTGACACACTGAGGACAGTCCAGCCTGCAGGGATATAGCAGTGGAGCCATGAGAAGGGCAGCCCAGCCTCCTGAACAATCCTATGGAGTGGGTGGAAGGGGCACAGTTGGGTGATGATCATCTCCCTAGGTCAGGGATCCAGCCATGCTGGATGCTGATGCCAGTGGCTGCAACACTTGGAAACCCTCACCCCTAGAGAGTAGGCACTGAGTGAAGACATCTCCCTAGGACTGGGCTGTCCCAGGCAACCCTGAGCCTGTCCTGGCACACTGCCTCTGTGGATGGACACCAGATCAGTGAGGGAGGAAGTGTGGAAGGTTGTGGTTTTGAATCCTGCTGGCCAACTGCACAAAACACACCTGTTTAAGCCCTCCTATAATCTCTCTTGAAAGTTCCTCTCAGCTTCCTTTTGGTACATGCTGATTTTTGGGTCTAGTGTTGTTATTCGGACTTTGACAGTTTACACTGGGTTTGGGCTGCACTCAAACAAAGTGACTGTGAAGAGACCTTGTCTGGGCCAGACCTGCTACCCGCAGCCCAGGATCCTGTGCGGGTGCCAAAGCACTGTATCCTCCACCAGTTGCGGCAGAGCTCTTCTGTACCCACATTCCACCGCAAACCCAGAAGGTGAGGAATCAGAGGTGGGCTATGGCATGTATCTTCCCCACACTGCAGGAGTTTTAGCTGTTTCCTCCTTCTCTTTAATATGCTTAAATCTAGATGATCACCAAGTGCACTGTGAGGTCGCATTTTGGAGAGCAAGGAAAGCAGGCCGAAGGGAGAGCAATGGTCCTTCCGCCAGGCAATCCTAGATCCACTAGGGTAAAGAGGGGTCTGAGCTCACACACTCACACACAAGTTCGCACTGCAGACTGACAGGCCCTCCCCAACACCCTCGCACCCACGTGTCATCCTGGAAGATTTGTGAGGCTGGAGAGAAGAGCTACTGAGGAAGCCCCACCTGGAACCACGCTCAGAGGAGTGAGGAACTGGGATCCCGCAAAGGAGCTGTCTGGCAAGCACAAGGGTACGTTCCAAATGCACCTGAAGAGGCAGACAGTGGCTCCAAGGCGCATCCCTTTCCTCCCTTCTCCCACCTCAGACAGCTGGCCGGGACCTGAGGGTGAGCCAGATGGGCAGAAGGAATCCTCCCGCACAAGGCACATCGTCTGTGGCATCGCGGACCCGCTAGGCTCCGATAGTCGGAGCCCTCCCTGCACACCCGAGTGTTTGATGGAAATAGACCTGTGGGAGGGGCGGTGCCGCAGGGGACAAGGGGGAAAGGTCCTCCAATCCACGGCCAATCTCCTAAGACTACCTGGGTCGGGTCCCAGGAAGGCAGAGGGCTTCATGGCCGTCTCTCGCGGTCATCCCGCCCCGAGAGCCCGCTGCTGAGAATGGCTCGAGCTACTCTCCCAGCGTGGACGCTCCCGTGAGTGGACTCCGGAAGCTCTGCGACCCTGGACGGCGGCCTCTCTGATCCGCACCAGCCTCCCTTCCCAGCCCTCCTTCCCCTTGCTCCCAGGCTCAAGGCAGGAGTTGTAAGGTCAGGCGTGGTGGACTGAACATCAGGACGTGCTCTGAGGATGAGGGAGGACCTGTGCTACTACAGCCCCAGGCGGCAGGAACCTCCAGGTCTGCGCGTGGGGAGAGGCCCTACTGCAGGGGGACTGACCGTTTGCAGGGGGACTGACCGTCAGGCCTAGCTGGGACTGCTCAGCCCTGGGAGCAACACAGGCGACAAGACAGTTCTGAGAGTCTGCGCCCGTGGCCTGCAATTTCCGCGAGTTCTCGCAGCCGGCGGCATTCTATAGCCTGGCAGGGGCAGAGGAACCACCGCTAGAGGTGTTGACCAAGACCAACACCAATCTTTCAACCACCTGGTCCTGAGGGGCAGGATATCTGGATGGGGTGGAGGAGAGGTTTGCTCTGCAGATATAGTCTACGCTCTGCCCAGCTGCTACCGACCACAGAACTGCGAGGCCGGGAGCGCTGAGAGTCACCTGCAGCCCCGCCCCGCTGGCCCTTTCTGGGGAGAAGACCACTGACTTTGGGGGAGGGGTAAGCGTTCAAAGCTGAAGTCCGTGGCAGGGCCAGGTTGGAAAGCGGAAACTGAGAATCACCTCATCTCAGAAGGCGGAGAGGTGGAAGGTGAGACAATCGAGGTCCAGACTGGAAACAGGAGATGCTGGGCTTCTTGAGGCTCCGCGGGAACACATTCCGATCCCCCTGCAGTGACAGGCTCTGAGGGCAGCAGGGCAGTGTTCCTCGGAAATGGCGAATGGAGGCAAGTGGTTGCCTGGTGATTGCTCTTCCCCTGCGGATCCCTTCTTCCTCCCCCGCCCTCTTCCCCTCACCTGCTACAGAAGGGTCCCACAGAAGCGGAAGTAGGAAGTCAGACAGCACAAAAACCACTTACTGCCAACCCACACCAGCCAACATGCCAGATGAGCAGAGGCAAGTGTGTCGGCTGGCTGGCACAACAATGCCTGGTTTGGAATATTGATGCACCTTGACAACTCATGTTTCGTCTGGACACTGCCCCCTTGCTTCCTATTCTGGAACAGAACTGAAAGCCCAGAAATAAAACCACACCTCTATGGACAGCTAATCTTCCACAAGGGTGCCAAGACCATACATTGGAGAAAAGATAGTCTCTTCAATAAATGGTGTTGGGAAATCTGGACAACCACTTGCAAAAGAATGAAAGTAGACCATTATTCCATGCTATACACAAAAATAAACTCAAAATGGATCAAAGACTTGAAGATAAGTCTTGAAACCATAAGACTCTTGGAAGATACTATAGGTAGTACACTCTGACATCAAACTTAACAGGATCTTTTTAAATACCATGTCTTCTCAGACAAGGGAAACAAAAGAAAAAATAAAGTGGGACTTCATTAGACTAAAGAGCTTCTGCAAGGCAAAAGAAACTAGAATCCAAACAAAAAGACAACCCACCAATTGGGAGAAAATATTTGCAAATCATATATCTGGCAAGGGGTTAATCTCCACAATATATAAGGAACTCACACAACTGAACAACACAAAAACAAACAGCCCAATCAAAAAATGGGCAGAGGATATGAACAGACTTTTTTCCAAAGAAGATATATAGATGGCCAATAAACACATGAAAAGATGTTCAACATCATAATCATCAGGGAAATGCAAATCAAAACTACACTAAGATACCACCTAACACTGATTAAAATGGGTATAATCACTAAGACTAAAAATAACAAATGTTGGAGAGAGTGTGCAGAAAAGGGAACCCTCATACACTGCTGGTAAGAATGCAAACTGATGCAACAACTTCGAAAACAGTATGCAGATTCCTCAAAAAACTAAAAATAGAAATACCATAAGACCCAGCTATCCGACTACTGGGTATCTACCCGAATAACTTGAAATCAACTATCCAAAGTAACATATGCACCCCTATGTTCATTGCAGCACTATTCACAATAGCCAAGATATGGAAACAATCCAAGTGCCCGTCGACTGATGAGTGGATAAAGAAGACATGGTGTATAGGTACAATGGAATACTAATCAGACATAAAAAAAAAAAAAAAAGACAAAATCATCCCCTTTGCAACAACATGGACGGACCTGGAAGGTATTAGGCTAAGTGAAATAAGCCAGAAAGACAAACACCATATGATTTCACTCATATGTGGAAAATAAACAAACACATGGACTAGGAAAACAGTTCTGTAGTTACCAGGGGACGGGGGGTGGGGGTGGCTACAGGGGCTGAAAGGGAGCATTTATGTGGTGATGGACAAGAAAGAATGTACAACTGAAATTTCACAATGATGTAAACTATTTATGAACTCAATAAAAAAAAATCTCCAAAGTCCTCCCTGAGGGTGTTCCCTTCACCTCGCAGCCCGGACAGAAACCTGAATCTCCCTGAGGACACGGCTCCTTCTGGAGTTCTCTCTCTTGGGGTGTTTTCTTTCCCACAGATCTTGATTCCTGGGCCTGGAGGTGGGTAGAGTCCTTGATCCTTATTGCTGCTCTCAGACCCTTGTTCCTCCCTCTTTCCTAGACATCTTCAGGTGTGAATCTTCTGTCATCAGATTAGAACCCCCACTCCCTCATTGTAGGTATTCTCTGTGGACCCCCAGGCCGTTCCCCTCATTCCTCAACTCCTTTAGCTCCAGACTTACTGTTGCTGTCTCTGGCAGTGCTATCTCCTTGACCTTTGGTGATTTTCTCATAAGATGTGGTAGGCTGAATAGTGGTACCCAAAGTTTTTCATGTTCTAATCCTTGGACCTGTGAATAGTTTGTCTTACTTGATAAAAGGGGCTTTCCTGTTGTAATTAAGATTAAGGTCTTTAAAACACAGAGGTTATTTTGGATTATCTGGGTTGACCCAAGCAAGTCACATAAATCCTTAAAAGCAGAAAATTTACTCTGGTTGAAGTCAGAACGATGCAGGAGAAGGAAAATCAGAGAAATTCCAACATGGGAAGGATAGTTGCTACTGCTGGTTATGAGATGCAGAGGGCCACATATGAGACCTGAGAGGCCTCTAGGAGCTGAAGCTGGTTCCAGCTGACAACCAGCCCAGAAATGGGGACCTCAGTCCTCCATCTGCAGGGATTTGAATTCCGACAACAACCTGAATGACTTTGGAAGTGGATTCTTCCAGAGCCCCTAGTAAGGAACGCAGACCTACTGACACCTTGATCTTAGCTCAGTGAGAACATGTTGGACTTGTAACTTACATAACCATAAGATAATAGATGGGTGTTGTTTAAAGCCTTTAGGTCTGTGGGAATCTTTACGGCAGCCATAGAAACCCACACAGCAGAGAGGATGCTCTCACTCCCTGACCTTTCAGTTCCCTGAACCCCTCTCCTCCATGACCTTCTACTCTGCTCTCTCTGTGCCCCCACTCCCTTGTACCCACGAGATCTTGTCATTGTCAATAACCCAGCCCTTCCATAGTCTCCACTTCATGCTTCCCACTCTGTGACCTCCATCTCTCCTATTCATCTCCTTGCAGGGTGGCCTAAACTCTGATACTATTATTTTATCATATATTGTAATGTAAAACCAGCAAAACTTTCATTACAAATGTGCCTGTTTTCCAGTCATGGAGTCCACCCAGTAGTACATCAATTCCGACAATCCTTTGACTACAGTGGATTTCTAGTCCATTGATTCCACCATGTTTTCACTGTCCTTCATGCAAGATACCCTATTCTCCTTCCTTACTCATTTTAAAGTCTATGGAAAACCATTTCAATCCCTCCCTTGCTTCTCACTTGCTTTGTCACACTTACTGGACAAAACTACAGAGCTGGTGATTCTACCTCTGCCTACCCTGCACCTGCCGCCACGCAGCCACAGGAGGCTGGAGAACTACTCACAGCCACTGACTGCTCTCACTTTAATGTCTTGACCAAAACCACAAAGGGAGCCCCTACCATTTCCCAGCAATCATCTTGTCCTTCCATAGTTCACTCAATCTCCTCCTATCCTTGATGACTATTACACAACTTCTCTACCTGCTCAAACATCCAAACCTACTTCCCCGCTTTCTTTTCTTTCTTTCTTTCTTTTTTTTTTGGTCAATGGCATTGCTTCCTGCTGTACTGAGAAAACTGAACACATTAGAAGGCAACTTTTACAGATTCCCACCACTATCTACTCATGTATTGGCATCTGCATGCTCATTATGGGCCTTACAGTCCTTTATCATAGGTTAGTCTCTCTGCCAGCTCCCTAGACCTCACCCTCTCCTATCTGTTTAAAAGCAGTGGTCCCACAACTCTTCCCCTTTTCTCTCCTTTATCATTAATTTTTTGCTCTCAGCTAGATCACCATGGATGCCAAGAGAATGCACATCCCAGACTCTCAGCCAAAAGAAGCACAATTGATGGATAGCCTGTCTCTGGCAGCCTGAAATCTATTGCCATATTGCCCTGGGACCACACTTCCCATGGGCTTCTTCCAGCTAATGATTGAGAACTGCAAGGAAACTAAGCAGGACTGCTCCTCCTCTGAAGACTGAGTTAGGCTCCATGGCTCCCTGACACCCTTACTGAACTATACTTAAACTGCACTGGGTAAAGGATGTTTCCAGTCATCTTCCTTGTTTCTCTCCTCTTGGGTTCAGACTTGCATCAAGATTTGATTGCTCTCCCAGCCTTTTCTGGCCCCTTTCCCAGTTTCTCCCACAGGTATTTCCCCTAATAATATCCTCCCACGTTTAATACTGTATTGGTGTCTGCTCCTCACAGAACATTAACACAAGTGGTATCAAGAGCAGGCCAAGAATACAGGAAAAAAGATGAGGATTGGAGACTAGCTCCTCCTCTGTCTGGCAGGCCAAGAGATGCCATCCAGGTTGGTAGGTGGGGCTCATTGTGGCAGCTGAGCTGTTATATATTTCACTGGTGGTGACCTCAGGAAACATCCTGGTTTGGGGATGCTATGGTAAGTGTGATGAAAGAAGCCTTTGAAAAATAATGTAGTAGTCAGGGGTTGTCTGCAAAGACAGTGGAGTTGGTTGGTTACTGCCCAGCTGTATTTATGGCCTAGAGAAAGATAATGAAAATCTGAGGATTGTTAATAAATCATTACCGGCTAATGTGAGAGCTTCTGCAGTGGCTTATAGAGAGGCCTTTATCTCATGTACAGGAAGGGCAGATAGAGTTTAACGGTAGCTGAAGACAAATTGTGAGGGTTGTAGAACTCTGGAGATGTTTGGACACTGAGAAAAGCAGGCCTACTACGTGAAATCAGGGCCCATGTGAGGAAAACCCAAGATTCTGCAAATTGGAACAAGTTTATCTTGACGGATGCCCTCTGGAACCTCTGGGGATGCAGAGGAGTCTCACCCTTCTCTAGTAATGGTTAGCACTTCCACTATGCTGGAAGATACTGCAAAAGTCCTACTCCTGTGATGCAATGGATATCTTTGCAAGAACTAGCCAGCATGTACTTGTAGGAGCCCAAGGAGTACTTTGCAGATTGGATTTTGAGGACATTTGACCAAGGGGCCAGAATGTCAGGCTGGATAAACAAAAATTCATTGGCTTGGATGCACTTTCCAAGGACATGGGTTTATCAAGGACCTAAGGGCACGGAGTAAACTTAGTGATGGAGTGGCTGTTCATAGCCTGGAAAAAATGATGTCCAACTCTTCAGCAAGGTAGACATGACTTATTTGCCCTGGAAGATAGTGTAAGATGATATAAAAAGACTGAAGGAATAGAGATATTATGTGAGGCCAGAAATTTGAGGATGTTGTGTCTTCTGCAGGCTGGGATGATGGTAGGAAAGGTGGCTCCAGAGTTGGCTTATTAATATCCATGGGGAGGGGGTGGCCCTAAAGAGATAGAGGCCAAGTGGGGATAGTTAACTGGCAAAAGCCAGAGGCCACAATGACTATAACACCCCCAAAGGAGCAGCCAAGGGAGGGAGCTTGACCTGCAGGGAGTTGTGGAGAAGGCTGATAGAGTGTGGTGACCT